CGGCTCCCCCTCGGCCGGGGCCCCCAGGTGCCTGAGCTCCTCCTGGGTGAGGGGCTGCCCGTCCCGCAGCTTGTCCCGCAGACGCCGATGCTTGCCGATACCCAGCTTGGGCAGGCCGCGGTCGAGCCCCTCCAGCAGGACGCAGGCCTTGCACAGGGTCTGGCTGGCCACATAGCCGCAGCGCTGGCAGGTGCCGCGGGACGGCATGCGGAGGTCGGAGCGCAGCAAGAGCCGTTCACCCGAGTGGCCCAGGTCAGCCACGGAGCTGGGCCGGACGGCTTCCAGATCCTTGAGCAGGGCGCGGGCGTAGCCGCGGTAGGCCTGGGGGGCGTAGACACACTCAGTGCTGAAGTAGTCCAGGCCCTGGAAGTAGGCGTAGAGGACAATCTCCTTCTCGTAGGCATGGCGCAGGGGCTTGCAGCGGGGCACGGCCCCCTCCCCCCCCGCCGGCCCCACTCCTGCCCCCCGGCGCAGCCGGCCCACGTCACCCCGCAGGAAGTTCATCAGCACCGTCTCGGCCACGTCGTCTGCATTGTGCCCTGCGGGGGGAGAGCGGAAGGGTCAGGCCGGAGCGGGCCCCCGGGTCGGACCCTGCGGTGACTCCCCCGCCCAGTACAGAGTCCCCCAAAGCAGACCCCATAGCACCCCCTCCTCCAGCACAGAGTCCCTCCAGATAAGACCCAACAATGCCCCCTTCTCCCCAGCAAAGCCCCCTCCCCGCAATTCAGACCCTACAGCTCTCCCTGCCTCCATCCCACAGGACCCCCCCCACACACACCCCCCACACCCCTGGGGAGATGTTGTACATGCTGAGCAGCAATCCTCCAGCTGACACCCCACCCCCAGGGCAATCCTGGCCCCCGCTCTTTCACGCCAGATGCTCCCCATGGACTCTCCTGCCCCCGTGACCATCTTGCCCCTCCCAGCAGCAGGGCACCTGGTGGCTCCCCCCCCCCCCCCCCCCGACCTGTGGCGATCTTGTCGGCGCCCATCAGCAGGGCGCCCCGGTCGAGGGCCTGGCGCCGGAAGACGCCGCAGAAGGTGCAGTTGTTGCGGGGGCCGAGGTGGCGGGCGATGCGGTCCATGCTCCAGCCGTAGAGCTGGCGGTAGGAGACCACGTGCAGGGGCAGGCCGGAGCGGCGGTGGTGTCGACGCACGGCGGCCAGGGAGGCATCGCGGTAGCCGGCGATGCCCTCGTCCACGGAGAGCAGCAGCAGGCGCAGGCCGTAGCCGTGGCGCTGGTCAAGGAGCTGCAGCAGGTGGGCCAGCACCGTGGAGTCCTTGCCGCCCGAGGCGCCAATGGCCACGGTCTCGCCGGGCCGGAAGAGCCGCCCGGCCACGATGGCCCGGTGCGTCTCCTCCTCGAAGGCCGCCAGGAAGCAGGCGCGGCACAGGGCGTGGCCCGTCTTGGGGCGCCGCAGGGCAGCCGGGCTGGCGCAGCAGGCGGAGCAGGTGGCCGGCATGGCAGGGGGGCTGGGATAGATGGAATGAGGGTTAGAGGGGGAGCCCCCCCCCCCCGGGCCAGCTCCCCAACTCACCCAGCCCTGCCCCCCGCTGCCCTCCGCCCGGCCCCCAGCCCAGCCCAGCCCCCACCATCCGCCAACTCACCCAGCCCCCCACAACCATAAACAGCCTCCCGCCTCACTCAGCCCCCCACCATCCCCCTCCAAACCACCCCACCACCCTCCGCCCAGCCCCCCAACCCCAGCCCCCCACTGCCCTCCACCCAGCCCCTAGCACAGCCCCTCCACCCGCTGCCCAGCCCCCCCCCCCACCTGCAAACCTCCACCCACCCCTCAGGCCCCCACCCCCACCAACCACCCCCTCCCCGTAGCGCCCAGCCCCAAATCTCTCCCCACACCCCGCCCCCCCAAGTACCAGCCCCGATCTCCCCGCGGGGCGCACACCCAGAGCCGGGGGGGGTCGGGGGGGTTTGACTCACCCGCTGTCGGAGCTGAAGCCTCTGCTCGTCCTGCACGGCCCTCTGGCCAACTCCCAGCATGCACCTGCCTGCCGCTCCCAGCATGCACCTGGCCACAGACTGCATCTCCCGGCATGCACCTGCCTGCCGCTCCCAGCATGCACCTGGCCACAGACTGCATCTCCCAGCATGCACCTGCCTACCGCTCCCAGCATGCACCTGCCTACAATTCCCAGCATGCACCTGCCCGAGACTGCACCTCCCAGCGGCCGCCCGCAGAACAACAACCCCTCTCCCCATTGTTCCCTGCGCATCCCAGCCCTGCCCTCCCCATCAGCCCTTCCTGCGCTCCCCCTGCTGCTGCCTGCCAGCCCCGGGCCATGCCCTGCAGCCCCGGCTTCTTCTGCCCTCCCAGTCCCTTGCCCCAGCACTAGGGGACGAGATGGTGCCCAGGGGCAGCCTGGGACCTGCCGGGGGAGCCAGACGTGGGGGGACCCGGCGGGGTGTCTGTCCTGCCCAGACCCCTCCCCATGGCAATCACTGCAGGCCCCAATGGCCCCGTTCAGAGCAATGGGGTGCCAGGCCACAGGCAGTGGGGCAGGGGACCCAGCAGGGGGCGCCATGCCGCAGGGAACAGGGCGGGGGTGTGCTCCGCAGGGGGTGCTGTGCTGCAGGGAGCAGGGCGGGGGGCTCAGCTGGGGTCGCCATGCTGCAGGGGGCTCAGTAGGGGTCAGTGCAGTGTTGCTCTGCAGATGTCAAACAGCTGCCCCTCCCCAGGGGTAGCTGCATTTCAGCACAGCACAATTCTAAGCACCCCATGCTGGGACATCGGGCTGGTCCTGATCCCCACGTGCCGCCCCACTGAGCCGTCCCTATATGCACAAACCGACCCTAAACTAAAGTGGCGTCTGGCCACATTCAAGCTCTGGAAGAAGCAGGCCTGGGTGGGAGATGCGGGGTGAATCTCTCGCCAACTATTTATAAGAAGCACATGTGGGACGGAGCTGTGTGTGGGAGGGGGGAGAAGAGAGTTTTCTGCGCCCTCCGGAGCTGTCTCTGGGTAGGAGCATGGGCCATGCAGGGTGGAGCTGGGATGTGGAGAGTTGCAGGGCAGGGTTTCACCTATCCAGGGAGGGGACAGAGCCACACGCCCGGCAGCATTCAGACACATGGCCTCAATTGGGACAGGATATTTCAGGGACAGGGACATGGAGACGTCGCCCAGATCAGAACAGACCCTGATCTATCCCTAGCCTGGACAGACGTGAGGGAAATGCAGCCAGCTCTGGTGCGGGGCAGCTGGGAAACAACCACATGGGGATGGCTCACTCAGCACTGAGGTGCAGCCAGCTCTGGGCGGGGTAGCAAGGGAACAGCCACACATAATGCCGCATGAGGAGGGCTTGCCCAGCGCTGAGATGCAGCCACCTCTGGGGTGGGGCAGCTGGGGAACAGCTGCATGGCAACGCTGCACAGTAATTAAGTACGGGAAGTGAAGAATATGTGAAACTCCCTGCAGCCCGGGGCTCCCTGCTGAGTCCCCAACCCGCTCCCTGCAGCATGGTGCCCCCTACTGAGCCCCCACCCTGCTTCCCGCAGCACAGTGCCCCCTCTGAGCCCCCACCCTGCTCTCTGCCACACAGCACCCCACCGGGACACTGGGGTTATTAGCACTTAGTGTAGGAGGGAGTGTCCCTATCCCTGGCCAGCTGGCATCATGTCCTGCTGCCTCGTGACTCCCGCTCCCTCCCCCCCCCCCCCCGACCTGTGGAGCTGGGGCCCAGCTGCTCCGCAGCTGTTTCCTGTTGTTCCTCCATCTCCCTGGCCCAGGGCCGGCTGGCCTCTCATTTCCACCCCTCATGGCCTCAAGCTGGGGGCCTGCGTGATGGGAATCAGGATGGGGGGCTCCCTGGTCAGCTCTGGCTGGGGGGGAGGGGGATGTAGCTGCTCTCCACAGCAGCCATGGGGTGAGATCAAGTCCAGATGCCATTTTGGAGGCAACTGCCATCAGGGGCCAGGAGAGAGATACCTGGCTACCACAGCCGGATGGGACCATCTAGTTGGACTCCCGGACCAAGGAACTGCCCCCCAAATCCTCCATCAAGCAGATCTCTTTGAGCAACACCCCGAGGGGATTTTAAACCCCACACTGCTAAAAATTCCCCTCTTATTACCCTGGATTCATCTAGCTTCAAATCCCAGCGGTTGGCGGGTGTTGCAGGTGCCCCTGGTGGCTCAAAGAGCCCGGTATTAAATATTCGTCCTCCATGTAGGTGTTCACGGACGGGGATCAGGTCCCCCCCCGTAACTTTCCCTTTGTTTGGCTCAATAGATGGAGCTGCTGGTGTCTCTAGCCTGAAGATAGGGTTTCCATCCCTGAAATCATTCCCCCTGGTTTCTTGTCTGACCCCCTCCCCAACTCATCAGCAATCGGGGACACCAGGTCTGGGCCCGGTTTGCCAGCCCAGTCACCCCAGGGCCAGATCCAGAGGGAAAATAACCTCTCTGCTCCCACTCATGTGTCCCCAGTTTGTGCAGCCCAGGAGAGCCTCAGCGTCACCCCGGGAGCATCGTGTGCAGCTGCTGAACCCCCACAGCCCCCCCAATCTTTCTCAGCAGCGCTAGTTCCCAGGGTGAAGCCCCCCAGTCCATGGGTCTGGCGAACGCGCTTTGCTCCAACAAAGAGGGGATTTGCTGCAGCATTCTTTGCCAGGCCACTGCGTGCCTCAGTTTCCCCCACGTTTCGCACAGTTCCCCCGGGGTCGGGTGATGGGCGAGGAGAGAAAAAGGGGCAAGCTAGAGCTATGGGCCTGAGCAAGGGGTAAAAATCCAGACACCCTCCCCTCCCAGCTGCCCGCCCCCGCGTAGATAGTTGGTCTCGCCCCCTCCCCCGCTTTGGATGGTCTTCCCCGCTTCAGATGGCCCCTTTCCCCAGGTTGGTCTCTCCCGCCTCGCCCAGGTTGGTGTCTCCCCCTGTGGATGGTCTCTCCCCGCGCCCAGTTGGTCTCTCCGAGCCCGGCCCATGTCTGACGCGACGGCCAAGCCCCGCCCCCTCTCCCGGCCAATGGGAGCCCAGATTCCCCGGTGACGCGGGGAGTCCAGCCCCCGTCGGGGCAGGGAGGAGCGGGAGCGCGCAGCGGGCGAGTGCCCGGCCCGGCCGTCTGGAGACAGAGAGGGGGTGAGAGCCGGGCCCCGCCCCGCCCCGCGCCCCACGGGGACCCCCTCCCCCTGCTCCCCCTTCCCCCCACGGGGATCCCCCTCTGCTGTGCACCCTGGGGTACCCCCCACCACTGCTTCCCCCAGCCCCGCCCCCCACGGGGACCCCCTTCCCCCCCTTCCCCTGCCCCCCACGGGGACCCCCCTCTGCTCTGCACCCTGGGGTGCCCCCCACCACTGCTTCCCCCAGCCCCGCCCCCCACGGGGACCCCCCTTCCCCTGTGCACCCGGGGTACCCTCCGCCCCTGCTCCCCCCAGCCCGCCCTGCCCCACGGGGACCCCCCATCTCTACCCCCTGATCCCCCCTCCCCTGTGCACCCCAGGGTACCCACCGCCCCTGCTCCCCCGGCCCCGTGCCTCATGGGTACCCCCCCTCCCCTGTGCACCCTGGGGTACCCCCTGCCCTGTGCCCCACGGGGACGCCTCCTCTGCTGTGCACCCCGGGGTACCCTCCGCCCCTGCTCCCCCCGCCTGCCCCGCTCCCCACCGGGAGCCCCCCTCCCCTGTGCACCCTGGGATACCCCCCTGCCCTCCTCCCCCAGCCCGCCCTGCCCCCCACAGGGAGCCCCCTCCCCCATCTCCTCCGCCTCCTCCCCTGTGCACCCCAGGGTACCCCCCAAGGAGAGCCCCTTCCCCCCCTCTCCTCCCCCTGCTCCCCCCTCCCCTGTGCACCCTGGGGTACACTCTGTCACTGCTCCCCCCAGCTCTCCCTGCCTCCCATGGGGAGCCCCCCTCCCCTGTGCACCCTGGGGTACCCCCCGCTCCCCCCAGCCCGCCCCGTGCCCCATGGGGAGCCCCCTCCCCTGTGCACCCTGGGGTGCAGCCCGCCCCCTGCTCCACCCAGCCCATCCCACGGGGAGCCCCCTCCCCCTGTCTTCTCCCCCTTACTCCCCCTCCCCTGTGCACCCCTGGGGCACCCTCCATCCCTGCTCCTCCCACCCCGCCCCGTGCCCCATGGGGAACCCCCTTCTCCTGTGCATCCCCAGGGTACCCCCCACCCCTGCTCCCCCTAGCCCGCCCCTCCCCCCATGGGGAGCCCCCTCCCCTGTGCACCCTGGGGTACCCCGCCCCTGCTCCCCCCAGCCTGCCCCGCCCCCTCATCTTCTCCCCCTGCTGCTCCCTTCCCTGGGCACCCCTGGGGTACTCCCCCTCCTGCCCCCTATGGGGAGCGCCCATCACTGCATCCTCCCCTGTGCATCCCAGAGCATCCCCGCACCGCCCATCTCCTCCCCCTGCTGATCCCTCCCCTGTGCACCCCGGGGTACCCCTGCTCCCTACGGCCTGCCCCCCCATGGGGAGCCCCCTCCCCTGTGCATGCCCAGGGTACCTCCCACCCCTGCTCCCCCCCCGCCTGTCCCCCATGGGCAGCACCTGCTCTCCCTACTCCCCCTCCTCTGTGCACCCCCAGAGTATGACCTGCCCCCCCCATGGGAATGCGCACCGTCTCCCCTGTGTACCCTCTGGGTACCCCCCACCCCTCCTGGCTACTATGGGGAGTGCCCCTCGCCTGTTCAGCCTCGGGGTATCTCCCGCCCCCTGCTCTTCCCAGCCCATCCCACACATGGATCGTCCCCTCCCCTATGGGAGTATGGGGGGGGGCACGCTTACCCCCACCAGGGGAAGGGTGATGAGCTAGGGTGCTCCTCGAACCCCATGAGCGTAGCGTTCGGCTCTGCCCCATGGGGCTCCACATGCCAGCCCTGCCCCCGTGCCTGTTGGAGGGGCCGGATCAGCCCTTTGGGCCCCTCTGGCTGGTCTCTTGCCCCCTCCCTGCCCCCCTGGGTCAGACCGCACGTCTAGGCGGTTTCTCACCCGCTCCGGGGCCCCTCCAGCCTGCTGCCCCTGTCCTCTCGGGCTGGGCAGAGAGCGCAGGTCCAGGAAGCATGGCGGTGTCTGGTGGGTGGCACTGGGGGTCTCCGGGTGGCAGGGGAGATGCTCGCCCAGCCCTTGGGGTGCTGAGCTACTAGATTTGCAGTCCTGGCACCCCTGCTTCTGACCCACTTGACCCCCACTCCCCTCTCAGAGCTAGGATGGAACCCAGAAGTCCTGGTTCCCAGTTCTCCTGCTTTAACCCACTAGATCCCACTCTCCTTCCAGAGCTGGGTCCATCTAGGTCCCAGTCCCACCCACCTAGCAGGAGGCAGTGCTGGCTGTTCCACTAGAAGCTGCCAAGCCCCTTGTTCTTTAGCAGCCTGTGGAACTCACTGCCACTGGAAATCCCTGAGGCCAGAAACGAAGTGACTCCAAACGGCCAGCGCCATGTGCACAGGGGGTTTTATTCCTTCCCGACCCAGTTTCATCCACAGACGCTGCTGGATGCCAGCAGCACGCAGTTCTGGCATCTCCCTCCCGGTGACTGCCAGGCCACGCAGGTCTCAGGAGCTCCTCAGGACTCCTGGGTTCTGTCCCCAGCTCTGGGAGGGGGAATGGGATCTAATGGCTAGGGCGGGGGCGGAGGGGAGTCAGGACGCCTGGGTTCTGTCCCTCTCGCTGGGAGGGGAGTGGGTCTGGTGGTTTAGAACGGGGACGGATGAAGCTTGAACTGTCTCAGCGTGCAGTGGGCTGGTTCTTCAGCTTGTTGGGTCGGTTTTTCAGCCTGTTGGGCCGAGATTTTTGCAGCGGAGCTTCCACTGGCCTCTGCTTTTTGCCAGCGCTTTCGGGGCGACGTCTCCCTCTGTGCGCGGCGGGGTGAGACCAGCGCTGCGCCTGGTGCTGGGGGGGCGCTCGTTGACAGGGGTGGAGGAGAGACCCCGCGATGATCGCGGGGCAGGAGAAGAGGCCCGGTAGTGAGCCGTCGCAGCGAGGACGGAGCAGCGATGGTCAGGGTGTGGAGAGGAAATGGGAGGCACCATGGGGCCGAGTCGGGAGCTGGCGGGACCCCCGGTGTTGCCGCACCACTTCCCTTAATAAAGCTGCCAGAGAGCTCAGCGCTTTATGCAAGAGGGGAAGAAGAGTTATCCCTGCCTGATGGCTGGGGAAACTGAGGCACGGAGCAGGGGAGTGGCTTGGCCTTGCTCACCCAGCTTCCCTCCCTCCCCCACATTCCGCCCCATGCCAGCACTGCCCCCCACACACTGGTCTGTCTCACCCTCCGAGCACTGGTTCTCCCTCCCCAGGGCTAGCTCAGCACTGTCGTGACCTCCCATCTCCAGCTGAGGATCCCGGGACTCCCCCCATGCACCCCGTGGCCACCCATTCGCCGGGCGGGTGCTGTGTCTGGGCGTGGACCTGGCTTTGTTTCTGAAAGGGCCTGTGTCATGCTGTTGGCTTGAGCCTGGCTCGATGCCCATCTTCCAGCTGGCTCTGTGCCCTCCTGGGTGCAATCCCCATGCGGCGCCCAGCTGCCCAGGTCCCGCTGGCTGTTAATGTGCCATTGTCTGGCTACGGAGCCTGCTGGCGGCTGGCTGGAGCAGAGTCGGTGGAGCAGAATCCATCCCTGCCCTGGGGATGGATCGGGGCCGGCGCCCACTAGAGGAGAAAGGGCCCCATTCCACCCCCCTGAGCCAGCCAGTCCCCTGGCCTGGGGCCAGATTGGGGTCCAGGGGCTGGGCTGGCCTGGCCGGGGTCCTGGCTGGCCTCGCTGTGCGGAATGGTGCCAAGGGCCATGTTGTTGTTGGCTCATCCCCCTGATGTCAGGTCTGCGCACGGCCAGCGCTTGTGTAAATGCCACATTAGTGCCGGTGCACGGGGGAGTCAGCTGAGCTACCTGGGGGTGCTCAAAGAGGTCACCCATGGGGCAAAATATGGGCTAGCGAGTTAGAAGTGGTGGGGCTGGGAGCCTGGACTCCTGGGTTCTTTTCCCGGCTTTGCAAGGGGAGTGGGGTCTAGTAGTTAGATCGCGGCGGCTGGGAACTAGGACTCCTGGGTTCTATCCCTGTCTCGCATGCCCATTCCTTCCCTGCAGACTTGCAGTCCTTCCTGGGGTGGAGCCGGCTCAGGAAGGGGGGTTGAGGTGTACGAGGGGAAAGACATTGGCTTGTTTCACCTTGCGGCTTCGTTGGTATGTGGCTGAGGAGCCAGGCACAGCTGGTTCCGTACACAGACGGAGTTTGAGCAACCTTGGACTTCGATCCTTCCCTGTGTTTCTCCTCTGGGCACGTCACTGTCCCAAAACCGCAGTGTAGAACAAAGAGAGGCCGGGCTGCACCAGGACACGAAAACTTGCTGGTCCTGCCCTGGTGACGTAAATCCACCCGCAGCTCTGCGGGGTAAAGGGCTCTCCGCTTCCTGTCCGAGATTGCAGGTCACTGGGTTCCCCAGCTGCCCCACCCCAGAAGTGGCTGCATCTCAACACTGGGCGAGCCGTCCCCCTGTGACCTAGGTAACCCAGACAGGAACTGAAACGTGCCAGATCTTGCTTTCTTCCTCTAGCAGCTGGCTGATGGCTGCTGGGGGGGTGGGGTCTGTGCACATGCCTCACTCTGTGAGGAAGGGGCGTCTGGCGGGCACCCTGTGATGGGGTTTGCTGCTTTCCAAGCCTCGGGGCCCTTTAAGAGGGATGAGGAGTGACTGCCTGGCAACCCCTGGTTGTCTAAGCAACAGCACTCTGGCTTGCCCAGCAACTGGGGGGGGGAGAGGGAGGGGGGGTGCTGAGTCCACCAGGCTCTGTGCCTGCCCCCTGGGGTCCAGGCCGGGTCTCTGGGGCCCTGGCATGTCCCATGCCCACCTTGGTGTGAGAGCCCGGGTGCCCTGGCATCTCACGGTATGCAGGGCTGGGGTCCAGGTCATGACATGGAGCTGGGGGCTCAAGTAGGGGGTGCCGTGCTGCAGGGAATGGGGCAGCTGTGGGGGCTCATTTTCTTTTCCCTTAGGAAGCCCAGTTTCCCCAACCCCTGCCCCATTTCCCCTTGGACGTTTTTCTCCTTAACAACCTGGCGCAGCGGTGCTGGGGCAGTGGCCAGGTGCTGCACTCTCCCCCAGAGGTGGCTGCCTTTCAGTGCTAGGTAAAGCGGTGGGATGGAAAAAGGGGGTGGATCTTTTGTCTCAGTCCCTAGTCCACTCCCCTGCCCACCTTCCCTGTTTTATCCTTCCTGCTTCCTCTCACGCTCTCCTCCTCTTCCTCCCCCTAGGCGCACCAGGGAGCCTGGAGCCCCAAGCCAGCTGCAGGGAGTGAGAGCCGTCCCGGCGGAGCTGGCTGGGGGGCGCTTCCCATCTCGAGGTAGGTACCCTGGATTTCTCTCCCTCGGGCTGGGGGACCCCAGGCTCTGGAGCAAACTTGGGGGTTGGGACACGGGGCCTTTGCCCTGTATGGGGTACTGGCTCTGTTCCAGCCCCATGGAGGTGGGGTTGGGGAGTCCCTGGACCCCTCCTGCCCTGACGTGGGCAGAGTTTGGGCACCAGCATCAGTCCGGAATCCGGATCAGAGCAGCCAGGCCCTGGAATTTCAGAAGGCTGGTCAAGCCGGAGAAACCAGTTCCCAGACCTAGGGAGCGGGGGCAGGGGACACCATGGTGGGTGGGGGCTGGGAGCCAAGACACCTGGGTTCTATCCCTGGGTGAGGGGAGTGAGGTCAAGTGGGTAGAGCCGGGGAGGGCGGGGCTGGGAGCCAGGACGCCTGGGTTCCCTTGGTGCTGTTGGCCCTGTGGCTGGAATGATCCCCTCCCCCTAACAGCAGGAGGCCCAGGGACAAAGGGTTCCTGCGAAGTATGTGAAACATCCAGCCCCTGACACATGAAAGCAGCTGCCGCCCAGCTCCGTCAGGGCCTGGAGGCTGAGCTAGGTACAGCTGAGTCCCCGAGCACCCCACGGCCAGGACCCAACCGGGCCAGACTCAGTGCTAACCAGCGCATCCCCGTCCCAGAGCAGGGGATAGAACCCAGGAGTCCTGCCTTCCAGCCCCCCCCCACCCCACTCCACTCCCAGAGCTGGGATAGAACCCAGGAGTCCCGGCTGGCTCCCAGCTGTCTGGCCGGGAGTGGCAGGGAACCTGTGAGGGGGGGGCGGGGGCCGGATCTGTTCCTGGAGACACTTGTTGAGTCAGGGGCTGGCTGGCTTTTGTCTTCCCTGATTTCCCAATTCCTGCCAAGCCTCCTGCAGCGACTGGCTCACACCTCAGGCAGGTGAGGTTGTGAGAGAGAGTCCAGGACGCCTGGGTTCTTCGCCAGGCACTGGGAGGTGAGTGGAGGCTCAGGGGCTAGAGCAGGGGGGCTGGGAGCCAGGACTCCTGGGTTCTATCCCTGCTCTGGGAGGGAAGAGGGTCTAGGGGGCTAGAGCAGGGGGGGCTGGGAGCCAGGACTCCTGGGTTCTATCCCCTGCTCTGAGAGGGAAGAGGGTCTAGGGGGCTAGAGCAGGGGGGCTGGGAGCCAGGACTCCTGGGTTCTCTCCCCAACTCTTGGGGAGCAGTGGGGTTGGTTTACAGATGGCACAGGGGCTCATGTACCTCCCTCCCCCAGGTCTGTCCCCAGGAGGGCGAGCCACAGCCGTCCCCGCCCGGGCCCTGCCCACCCGCCGGCCATGGCTAGATGATCCCGGCCCCGCGCCATGCTGCAGTCCCGCGGCCGGTACCTGCTGCTCCTGCTGGGGGTGCAGCTGGTGGTGATGGCGCTGCTCTACCATGAGGGCTACCGCCGGCGGGTCGCCTACTTCCTGGGCATCTTCTACAAAGGGGGGGGCCCCGGCCGGGCTTGGGGGGCCGCAGGGCGCCGCCCACAACGCCTCGCTGCCCGGCGATGTCTACGCCAACCTCAGCCTCATCGCCCGGCCCCTGCTGCGTCCCGAGGAACTGCCCTACTGCCCTGAGACCTCCCCGTTCCTAGGTAAGGGGCGCCTGGAGCCCTGGGTCCTCGCCCTGGCTTCAGGAGGGGTGGGGGGGGGTGCTGGGGTCAGGACAGCTGGGTTCTATCCCATCTGGGAGGGGAGTGGGGTTTAGTGGGTAGAGCGGGGGGTTGGAGGCAGGACTCCTGGGTTCTCTCGCTGGCTCTGTCGGGGGAGTGGGTCTAGTGGTGAGATCAGGGCGGCTGGGAGCCAAGGACTCCTGAGTTTTGTCCCTGGCTGTGGGAGTGGGGCAGAGATTTGGGGGCTCACACGGATTTGAAGCCTCTCTGTGGGTATGGGGGCGGCCCCCCCAGAGCTGTGAACCCCAAGTTTCCTGGGGCTCAGGCGTTTGTTCTGCCCTGCAGGGGGCCCGATCCGGGTGACCTTCCCCCCAGGGCTGACCCTGGAGGAGATTGTCCGCAAGAACCCCTATGTGAGGGCCGGGGGCAGGTACCAGCCCCCCGACTGCGACCCCCTGCACCGCACGGCCGTCGTCATCCCCCACCGCAACCGGGAACAGCACCTGCGCTATCTTCTCTACTTCCTGCACCCCTTCCTCCAGCGCCAGCAGCTCGCCTACGGCATCTACATCATCCACCAGGTGCCCCGGATGCTGGGGTCCGGGGGGGTCGGCTCTTTGGGGTTAGAGCGGGGCGGCTGGGAGCCAGGACTTCTGGGTTCTATCCCGGCCCTGGGAGAGGAGGGGGCTCTAGTGGTTAGAGCAGGGAGGCTGGGAGCCAGGACTCCTGGGTTCTATCCCAGCTTGGGGAGGGTAGTGGGGTATACAGGTTAGAGCAGGGGGTTTGGCAGCCAGGTCTCCAGGGTTTTATCCTGGCTTGGGGCAGGGGGAGGTTAGAGCAGGGGGGCTGGGAGCCCAGATTTCTGGGTTCTATCCCGGCTGGGGGGGGAGTAGTGGGGTATACAGCTTAGAGCAGGGGGGCTGGGAGCCAGGTCTCCAGGGTTCTATCCTGGCTTGGGGGCGGGGTAGTGGGGTATACAGGTTAGAGCAGGGGGGTCGGCAGCCCGGTCTCCAGAGTTTTATCCTGGCTTGGGGCGGGGGTGGGGGGATTAGTGGGTTATACAGGTTAGAGCAGGGGGGTTGGCAGCCAGGACTTCTGGGTTCTATCCTGGCTCTCGGAGGAGGGTGCGGGCTAGTGGTTAGAGCAGGGGGTTGGCGGTAACCCTCCATTGTCGTCCCACCCTCCAGGCAGGGAACTACACCTTTAACCGGGCCAAGCTGCTGAATGTGGGGTTCAAGGAGGCGATGAAAGATGAGGACTGGGACTGCATGTTCTTCCATGACGTCGACCTCATCCCCGAGGACGACCGCAACCTGTACACCTGTGACCGCTTCCCCAAGCACGCCTCCGTCGCCATGGACAAGTTCGGATACAAGTGGGTTCCCGCGCCCTCCCCCATCTCCATGCTGGGCGAAGGGTGCCCAGATAACCAGCCCGCCACGTCTTCACGCCGGGCGAGGGATCCCCTGGATAACCAGCCCCTGCACCCCACCCCAGAGGTGGCTGCCTCTCCATGCTGGGCGAGGGGTCCCTGAATAAGCACGCCCTGCCCCAGAGGTGGCTGCATCTCCATGGTGGGTGAGGGGTGCCCAGATAACCAGCCCGCCATGTCTTCAGGCCGGGCGAGGGGTGCCCTGGATAACCAGCCCCCGAGCCCCACCCCAGAGGGGCCGCATCTTGCCAGGCACGGGGTTCCCGTATAACCAGAGCTCGTGCTCCACTCCAGAGGTGGCCACTGTCTCCATGCTGAGCGAGGGGTACCTGGATAACCAGCCCCTGGTGTCCCGCCCCAGAGGGGCCACATGTCTGCGTCGGGTCCCTTTATAACCAGCCCCTGTGCCCCAGGTGGGCTGCATCTCTGGCAAGTGTGATTGACCGCCTGGATTCCCCTCCCCGCCCCATCACTGCCCATCTGGAGCGCCCCCTGCTGACGCTGCCCTCTCTTCCCGGTAGGTTGCCCTACAAGACCTACTTTGGGGGGGTGTCGGCTTTGACCCCGGAGCAGTACATGAAGATGAACGGTTTCCCCAACAACTACTGGGGCTGGGGGGGCGAAGATGATGACATCGCTGTGAGGTAGGGGGCGGGGCTGTGGGTGAGGGGGCGGGGCCGTGGGCAGCCTCACAGCCAGTCACCCCTTGGGGTTTTCCCACCCAGGGTGTGTGCGGTGGGGTGGGGTGAGGATTCTCATGTGACACCTGCTGGGCTAGCCCAGGTTTATGGGAGGGGGCCACACAGTCTCTTCTACAGGTGGGGAAACCAAGGCACGTGAGCAGCACAGCCGGGGAGAGAACCCAGGAGTCCTGGCTCCCAGCCCCTCTGCCATGAGGCTGGATGGGCCTGCGGGTGTGATGGGCGGGGCGGATGACAGGATGCCAGGCTAGATGGGCCTGTGGTTTTTAACCCTGCCTCCCCTCCCCCCAGGGTGGCGCTGAGCGGGATGCTGATCTCCCGGCCCTCCATCCAGCATGGCCGCTACCGCATGATCAAACACGGCCACGACAAGGGCAACGAGCAGAACCCCAGGAGGTGATGGGGGGAGGGGAACGGTGGGGGGGAGGGATCCGCTCAGTGGGAGAGGGGAGTGGTGTGAGGAGTTCAGGGGGATCCTGGCAGCGGGGGAGGGGAGCAGCATGGGGGGGGATCCTGGCGGCGGGGGAGGGGAATGGGAATGGGGCGGGGCTTGGCGGGTGGTGGTGGTGGGGATCCTGGCCGCGGGGGGAGGGGAATGGGAATGGGGCGGGGCTTGGCGGGTGGTGGGGGGGGGTCGTGCCGGGGGAGGAGATCCGGTGAGGAATTGGGCAGCATCCCGGCAGTGGGCAGGATGGGGGGGTGTCCTTGTCCAGCTAACCCCCGCCCCCCCCCAGGTTTAACCTGCTGGCCAAGACGCGACGGACCTGGCGCCAGGATGGCATGAACACCCTGGAATACCAGCTGCTGGCCAAGGAGCGCCTGCCCCTCTACACCAACATCACCGTCGCCATCGGCACCGAGAAGGGCCTGCGCCGCCCCACGTGACCTCTCCGCCCGCAGGGGGGCCGGGACTTGGGGGGGGCGTGGCTGGCCCCCATTCCCCCCGATCCACCCTGGACTGAGCAACCAAAGATGCCCAGCTGGAGGGGGTGGGGCCTTGGGCTGGAGCTGCTGGGGGGAGGGGGAGGGATTGGGCTCATGAGCTGAGGCAGGGGATGTGGGGTAGAGCGGGGCCCTGATTGGGGGGCCCCCAAGCTGGTGGGGGCTCTGTCAGGGGATGGGGCCCCTGATGCCCCTGCTGTTGGGCGAGGGGGGAGGGAGTCAGGCCCTGACTCCCCCCAGAGCCATTCGCCAGGGCTGGTTTTTTATACAGATGTCTCTTGGGGGGGGCGGGGTTTGTCTCTTGGGGGGCAGGGTTTGCTGTCCTGCCCGCAGAGGGGGCTGCCCCCCTGTGCACAGACTTTCTTATTAAAGTGCAATTTATTTTACTGCAGCCGTGTTCCCCTCCCCCCAGCCTTGTTTGTTCTTGGGCGGGAGAGGGGGCCATGGGCAGGGCTGGGCCACCTGGCTGCTGTGGGGGGCCACTGGCCACGCTGGGCCCATGGGGAAGGGGATGCATTGGCCTTGCCACAGGGCTGCCAGCACATGTGTTCCTCTGCTCTACCCCCAGGGGCTCCCCAGAAAGCTGGGCCCCCAGTGCCCAGCTCCCTCCTGCAGCAGGGGGTCCCTGGGTCTGGTCCCCATGCAGCAATGAGAGTTGCTGGAGACCCCCTCTCCCCTGGGCTGATAGGACGAGTGGGGCGGCGGGGGGGGTTGTGAGACTCTGGACCCCCTTCCCTTCCCCCACAGCCCCCATGCAGCGCATGGGGCCTGGAGTTACCTCCCCAAATGTAGAGGAGGCTCCTGGTCACGCAGCCATAGGTGTGGGGAGGGCTGTGGGGCTGGGACAGCTGGGGGCTGCGGGTGGGGATTGAGGGGAGCCCAGGGCTGGGCGGGGCTGGGCGGGGAGGGGCAGGGCTGGTGTAGCAGGGGCTTGCAGGTCAGGATTGAGGGGAGCCCAGGGCTGGGTTATCTAGGGGCTGTGGGTGGGGATTGAGAGGCACTGGCAGAGCCGGGGGGGGGGAGGAGAGGGGGGGCAGGAGATCTCAGGCCTGGGTTTTTCCGGAGGCTGCGGGTCCCCCAGTGTCACCACAACCCTAAACTGCAATTCTTTAGCAGGGCTTATTCCCTGCAGGAAGATCTGGGCCCCGGGGCCCATCACCCTGGTCTCCTGGCCTTGGGGGCAGCTCCAGAATCTCAGCCTTCAGTTAAAAAAAAATTCTGCTTCGAGCCCACGCAAGTGGGGAGAAAAGCTGAAAACTGAATCTGCCGGGAGCTGCCGGCGTCTGCCGAGAGCCTGAGCCCAGTGCTGGGAGAGGGGGAGCTGGCCCAGGTGTGAGCAACGCTGCCTGCGTCTGCCAAGAGCCTGAGCCTGGCGGCAGAGTTGGGCCAGGTCCCAGGGGCCCTGGTCCTGGGGGAGGAGGGGTGTCACGGGGTCCCATTCGGGTACTGATCTGCTGGGCCTGATCCTCAGCGAGCTCAGGAAGCCGAGACAGTTCCTGATCCTCCAGCCAGCTGCATTTCAGGGATGCCACGTGTGGCCACCCCCTCTGGGCCCCTGGTGGCCTGCCCCTGGTTGCCATCAGAGTTTCTGCAGGCCCTGTGCCCCTTCCTGGCTGGGGGTGCCTAGGAATACCCCAGCTGGTTGAAGTGCAGGGGGGTGGTGTCCCCAGCTGGGCTCAGAGAAAGCTACGTGGTGAGGCTGGCCAGGGCCCACATGCAGCCTGTTCACCTATGGCAAGGGGGCAGAGGGTAGTGGCCAAACCGGCGATAAAGCCCAGGAGTCCTGGCTCCCATTTGCCTCCCCCAGCTCTGACCACTAGACCCTACTCCCCTCCCAGAACTCGGCTAGAACCCAGGAGTCCTGGCTCCCATCTACCTCCCCCAGCTCTGACCACTAGACCCCACTCCCCTCCCAGAACTTGGCTAGAACCCAGGCAGGAGTCCTGGCTCCCGGCCCAGGGCTTTAGCCCTCCCTCTCAGCCTTGCCAGGTGGCTTATCATGTTCTCACCCCAAGGCAATGCCAAGCAGCCCAGCTGCTGGGTGGGGTCGCCTGGCCCCATGGCTGTTAAAGAGAAACATAACACAGCCTGGGAGGAGTCTCTTCAATTCTTTCGCTCTCCTGGCAGGGCAGGAGGGGGGCAGGGCAGGAGGGGGGCCTGTGCTCCACCCAGAGACGGCTGCGTGCCAACGGGGGACTAGCTGGGGAGTTTATCTGCTGCCTTTGGGGAAGGGGGATTTGAATGGCCCCACTTCGCTCACCCTACGAAGGGCTGGGTTTGGTCTGCGATCGGCGCTATCGCAGCCAACCACCAGGTGGCGCTGTTGTCCCCTGTCGCCTCCAAATCTTGAGTTCTCTTCAGGATGCCTGGGTTCTATCCCTGGCTTTGGAAAGGGAGGGGGTCTGGTGGGTTAGAGCAGAGGGGCTGGGAGCCAGGACTCCTGGGTTCTGTCCCCAGCTCTGGAAGGGGAATGGGGTCTGGGGGGGTAGCATTGGGGATCACGCATGCATTGTTGTTGGCCTCTGTGTGCCGTACCCATGCAGTTTTCTTTCCATGTTGCAGCCGGAGCACGTGGGCGTGCTTTTGCACCTGAGCTTTTGGAGCAGAGTGTGCGGTTCGGTGCATGGGGGGGGGTGCATTTTTGCACGAATCCGTGTGCATACGTGTCACAGATCCACAGGAGAACTCTGCAGCGGGCCTGGATCTGGCGGGTCCAGTCGGACTCGCTGCCATAATAGTGGGGGTGGGTGAAATGTACTTTGTGGCAGGTGGGCAAATACCCCAGGCTGCCATGATTTGCAGGAACACACGAAAGCTCCGGTCAGTTTGGCAGAAAGAGAATCTCAGCAATGCCAAGCAAGTCTGTCTGTTAAAATGAAGGTTTTCGTACTTCAAGTTAAGCGAGGGATAGAAAGAGATTTCCTGTCTATTATAACAGGCATTCCAGTGTGTATGTACATGGTTTAACCAAGTTTTGTTTTATTCTTTCAGTGGTAAAAATTGTGCCTGAGTTCCGTTTATGTAGATATCTTCACCGATCGGTTTTATGTTGGGTTTTTTTAGCAGCCTGGGGGGGATCTGTCTTTCTTGCGGGATTTGCGGGATCTAAGATTTTTGGGACGAAAATGGAAGAAATGCGGGAGCAGGTGGGATGGGAGCGGGGTTAAAAAAGGAGTCCCGCGCAGGGGTCTATCGTGCGTGTGTTGTCGGCCGCCGTGGCCCATGCGTGAATTTTTCCTTGCACGTTGCCGCGGGAGCGTGTGGGCGTGCGCTTGCCCATCCGCGTTTGGAGCTGAGCGGGCATCTCGGTGCGTGGGGGGGTGTGCATTTTTGCACGGATCCGTGTGTGTATGTGTCACAGATCCACGGGGCCAGCCCTGGGGAGGCCTCCTTCAGCGTGTCAGTCCCCCGCCCCCCTCACTGGGAGCAACCACCTGGCTTCACCACCTCCTGGGACCTAACCTTAGAGTCTTCCACACCCCTGCCTCATGCCATGAGCTCCCTGCAGCGAGTCTGCCTGATTTGGACACCGGAGGGAGACGTGTACCCCCAAAGGGAGCAATGTGTCCCAACCTCCTTAATCTGGAGTGACTCTCGGGCAGTGGTGTAAAAGCAGGAGGGTTATGAGCTTCCTGGAACCTGGAAAAAGCCCTTAGTTAACACCGAGAACAGAAAGTTAAGGCCTGGTCCATCTGCGTCAGCCCAGAGACCTCTGGCCTCTGGCTCTGACCCCTCTCGCTTCCAGCAGCCCCACACCTAACAAACCCACCAGACCCCTCCTCCACCCTTTGTTCCCCGGCTGGTCAGACCCTCCTGGCTCCAGGCTGCGGGGGGCCACCCAAGGGTATTGCTAGGTGCCAAACATCCAGGCAGTTGGCATGGCCAGTGTCTTCTCAGAGGCTCCGTGAGCGTGGGGCCCAGGCAGGTAGGTGTCAACCACACCCGGGTTTCTGCAAAGAGTAAACAACCTTTTCCCACCACCTGGGGAACCATGCACCACTGAGGGGAAACTGAGGCACAGACAACATATTCCCACAAAATATGTCGGAAAAGTGCCCTGCTGTCCCAGCCCGTTGCTGCAGCTGCATGGCTGGCGGTGCGCATTGGTAAGATAAGGCTGCGTGGGCAAGTATTTGTGCCTTTATGCAGGCAGGGAACTCAGTGGTTTGAGCATTGGCCTACTAAACCCAAGGTTGTGAGTTCAATCCTTGAGGGGGCCATTTAGGGATCTGGGACAAAAATTGGGGATTGGTCCTGCTTTGAGCAGGGGGTTGGACTAGATGATCTCCTGAGGTCCCTTCCAACCCTGATAGTCTATGACTTTGTGTGTGTGCAAACACCTGCATTTCTGTGCAGGTGTTTGTGTGGGTAGGTGTGTTGTGTTGTGCATTTGCAGAGGGGGATGTGGCATGCAGTTTTCTTGGTGCATTTGTGAAGGGGGTGTGTACATCCCTGGGGGGGGGTGTTTTTGTGAGTGTGTGTGTGTATTTGCAGAGGCATCTGGGCACAAAGGTGTGTGCATTTTTGCTCTGCTTTGCACTTGTATGCATCTGTTTGTGTTGGCAGGTGCATGCATTTGTGCTTGAAGGTGTGTGCACCGATGATGTGTGTTTGCATCCATTGGGGGGGTGCGTTTTGTGCCGGAGGGGTGTGGGCATCTGGTGTGTGTGCCCTGTGCATAAGGGGGGGGTGTATTTTTGCACACCATTGTGTGTGTATTAGCTCATACACATTGTGTGTAAGTGCATCTGTGGGCATTTGTTTCTGTCCCCATACGTGTGATGCTTTTGTGCCAGGCTCCATGTGCGTGTAGCACGGGTGTGTTGCTTTCCGCACACACCAACAGGTATTTTGCACGTTCACTGGTGGCTGTACGCAACCTCACACGCACTTTAGCATTTGTCGGTGTGTGTGACGGGTGTGTTACTGCTCACACCCTTTCTCCTCCCCTCTTCCTCCTCCCCCCCCCCCCCCGTGCCCCAGGCAGGGTAGGGGTCTGGGTGTGGAAGTGGCTGCAGGTTTCCGGTGACCAGGCTCAGTTCCCAAATGGGGAGGGGCTTGGACTAGGCTCTGCCTCCTCTGGGGCAGTGGGCGGGGTGGGGGGGGGAGTGCAGTTATGCAAGGTGCAGTGGCTGTGTGGGGCTGGTGCCTGGCAGAATGGGGTCTCGGGGGGGCAGTGAAGTGTGAGGATGCAGTGGGGTGCAGTGTGAGTGGAGGGATGCAGTGGAGCACTGTGCAGGGGCAGTGTGGGGGCGTGAGGTTCCATGAAGATGGGGGATGCAGTGACCGGTGCAGTGGAGAGCAGTGTATTGGAGTGGGGTGCAGTGCCCAGTGCAGTGAGGCATGGGGGTGCAGTGATAATGCAGTGTAGTGCAGTGACCAGCACGGTGGGGCGCAGTGAGGCATGGTGTGCAGCGGGGTGCGGGGGTGCAGTGCCCAGTGCAGTTAGACATGGGGTGCAGTGATGGGTGCAGTGATGCAGTGCCTAGCACAGTGGGGTGCAGTGAGGCACAGGGTGCAGTGCCCAGTACAGTGGATTGCAGTGGGCCGGGGGTGCAGAGGATTGCAGTGAGGTGAGGGGGTGCAGTGCCAGGCACAGTGGGGAGGAAGTAGTTAACGCTGTGCGGGGGCGGGGGGGGGGGCTGTGTCCTGCGGTCTCTAGCTCTCCCCCCCCCCCCAGCCACTTCCCTTCCTCTTTTCGAGGATTTCCCGTCCGTGCTGTCACTTGGCTCCATCCGCAGCACCCGGCCCCTCCCGCGGGTACCCCAGCGCCCAGCAGACGCCCCAGCCAGACATCTCTACACCCCAGCACCATGGGACCTCTGGGCCCCCCAGCCCTCCGCGCCCTACTGGGCTTGGCCTGGGCACTGTTGGGTGAGTCTGACCCCCCCACCCCCAGCTCCCCCAAACCTCCCCTGCATCGCAGCTCCCCCAGATCTATCCTCTCCCACTCACAGCCCCACAGATCGATCCCTTCCCCCCCCCCCACCCATTAACACGAGATGTCCCCCAGGACCTGCCTTTCCCCCCTACTCCCCCCTTCATCAGAAGAGCCCCCCACAGTGTCCGCCAATATCTCCCAACCCTGCCTTGGCAGAATACCATCATCCCCTATAGTGCCCCCCCACACCAATTCTCCGTCTCCCCACCCAGCTGATGCCCCCCCCAGCCCAGCCCTCCACCAATACAATCCCCAGCACCACAGCCCCGGCCGGTCTGCCCCTCCCTCCAGGAACCCCTAGACTCCCCCACCAATCAACAGCCCCCAGCACTCCAGAGGAGCATTGCCCATTGACACCCACGGGATGCTGGGGACCCCTCCAGGGCTGTGGGGGCAGGAATGGGGGTCCCAGCAGGGTCCTGTCTCCTCATCCAGCCTGCCCGCCGCTCTGCTGTGGGCTTTCCAAGCCCCTCCCCGCAGCGATACCCCTTCTGCACCCACTTCTGCTTCCCCTTTCCAAGGAGAGACTCAGCAAAAAAACAACACAAGGGGGGTGGGCAAGGCCAGGACGCCTGGGCTCTGGGAGGGGAGTGGGGTCCAGTGGTTAAAGCCGGGAGTGGGTGCTGAGAGCCAGGACTCCTGGGTTCTCTCCCTGGCTTTGGGAGGGGGGTGGGGTCTAGTGGTTAGAGTGGGGGGGCGGGCCTGGGAGCCAGCTAGGAGCAGGAGTGTGTGAAGTTGGGGCAGGGAGCCTTGGCTCCTGGGTTCCACCCATGCCAGGCCTTGATCAAGTCCCCTTCTCTGTGCCTCAGTTTCCCTTGGCTGAGTGGTGTTAATGGGATGGCACAGAGGGGGGTCACAAGCTGTCTGGGTGCCCTGTGGGGCTCAGGCTCCTACTTATGGGTCTCCCCTCCCCCCACACTTCTCTGTATCCTTCCTCCTTCAATCTCCAGCCATGGCGTGCTTAAAAATACCCAGCCACGGGACTCGAGCTTCCGGCCGCCTCAGCCTGGCAAGCCCTGGTCACATTAACGCAATGGAACCCAGGAGTCCGGGCTCCCAGCCCCCTCTGCTCTAACCACTAGACTCTACTCCCTTCCCAGAGCCCTGATAGAACCCTGGAGTCCTGGGGCCTGCCCCAGGGGTTTATGGTACATGGGAGTCATTGGTACAGCGCCCCAGTGGCATGGTGACCTCAGGGTATTAGACATAGTGAGCCTAAGGGGGGGACAGAGGATGGGAGATGGGCGGGGGATCCTGCTGTTCCCCCCTCCCCCTCCCCCCAGTACAAACCCAGAGCAGGGGCAGGCCTCAAGCAGAGAAACCAGAGACGTGAAACTGACCACTGGGCCCTGCAGCAGCTAGGCGAACTGACCGGAAACACATCACGTGCAGAGCTGGGGGGAGGGGTGCAATGGGGGGGCAGAGTCACTGCACAGATACCACATGGGAGCTCAGATCAGAACCCAGCCCTGCCCCCCACCCCCCCGCAGCAATCAGGGAGTGACTCTGGATCAACTCGGGGGGAGCCGAGATCAGAACCCAGCCCTGCCCCTCCCATTGCAGTCAGGGGTGACTCTGGATTGATCAGAACCCAGCCCTGCCCCCGCTGCCGTCAGGGGGTGACTCCGGATCGACCCCGGGGGAGCTGAGATCAGAACCCAGCCCTGCCCCTCCCATTGCAGTCAGGGTGTGACTGGATTGATCAGAACCCAGCCCTGCCCCCGTTGCAGTCAGGGAGTGACTCCGGATCGACTCCTGGGAGCTGAGATCAGAACCCAGCCCTGCTCCTCCCATTGCAGTCAGGGGGTGACTCCGGATCGACCCCTGGGAGCTGAGATCAGAACCCAGCCCTGCCCCTCCCATTGCAGTCAGGGGGTGACTGGATTGATCAGAACCCAGCCCTGCCCCCGTTGCAGTCAGGGAATGACTCCGGATCGACCCCTGGGAGCTGAGATCAGAACCCAGCCCTGCCCCTCCCATTGCAGTCAGGGGGTGACTCCGGATCGACCCCTGGGAGCTGAGATCAGAACCCAGCCCTGCCCCTCCCATTGCAGTCAGGGGGTGACTGGATTGATCAGAACCCAGCCCTGCCCCCGTTGCAGTCAGGGAATGACTCCGGATCGACCCCTGGGAGCTGAGATCAGAACCCAGCCCTGCCCCTCCCATTGCAGTCAGGGGGTGACTCCGGATCGACCCCTGGGAGCTGAGATCAGAACCCAGCCCTGCCCCTCCCATTGCAGTCAGGGGGTGACTCCGGATCGACCCCTGGGAGCTGAGATCAGAACCCAGCCCTGCCCCTCCCATTGCAGTCAGGGAGTGACTCCGGATCGACCCCGGGGGAGCTGAGCTCAGGACAGTCTCCGAGATCGGAGCTTCGGAAGTGACTTTGCCCAAGGTCTCACAGCGAAGCTGGAGCTGTGTCCATCCCAGGTGGATGTTAGCGCGGGGGGCGGGGAGGGACATTGTTATTGGATCGAGGTGCACTGGGGAGCGAGGAGCGAACCGGGGAGCCACGGGCCCCTGGAGACGGGCCCTGCGGAGCTCGACCGCTCGGCTCCACCCAGCAGCCCCTGGGTCCATAAGAGCGATTCCCTCCCTGGCCCACCTCCGCACACTAATTATCCAAGTTACACAGTAGTTCTGGGGCAGATCTGGGAAGAGAACCCAGGAGTCCTGGGTCCCAAACCCCCTGCTCTAACCACTAGCTCCCACTTCCCTCCCAGAGCTGGGGAGAGAACCCAGGAGACCTGGCCCCCAGACCCCCCTGCTCTAACCATTAGACTGAAGGTCCTTTTCTTTGTCTTGCAGGTTCTGTTAACGCACAGAGAGGTGAGGAGCCGCCCCACACCTAGGGACTGGATCTCGGGGTGCTGGGGCCTGGCCGTGCCCCCTGGCTTGAGGGGGTTTCCAGGCTTTCCAGTTTGGTTCAGTGGCTCTCAGCTGTCCCCCACACCCCCACTTTACAAATTGTTCCAGCCCCCACCCCGCACCCCATTCCTTCCCTGCCCCCCAGCTCATTTCCCTGCCCCCCTGCATCTCTACTCCCCCACCCCTCCTTGCCCCCTCCCCTAATGCCTCTAGTCCCCCACCCCCCCTACCCCCACAGCTCTTCTCTGCCCCACCACTCTGGTCTCAGCCCCCTGTTCCCCACCCCCCCTCGCCTTTTTCCTTCCCCCTGCTCCATTTTGTGCCCCCTTGCCTTCTCTCTCTGCCTCCCTCCCGCAGTCCCACACAACTCCCACCCCTCCCCTCATGGCCCCCACTCCCAACCTCCCTCTCCTTCTCTCCCTGCCCCCCCCACTCTCCTTACCCTTCTCTCCCCCACCCTGCCCCCTTCCCACCCTCTCTCCTCCCCCACCATACTCCACAGATCCATTGCTCGATGCCCATCTCTCTCTCTCCCCACGCCCTCCCAGATTGCACCGGCTGCCCCGAGGTGAGTGGGGGGCTGATCGCGGGGCTGGTCATGGGGGACCTGCTGCTGACACTGTTCATCGCGCTGGCTGTCTACTTCCTGGCCGGCAAGATCCACCACCAACGGGAGAGCGCACGGGGTATGGCACTGGGGAGCGCGCTGGGGCTGGGGGGTGCACAGGGGATGGGGTTGGGGTCATACAGGGAACAGGGGGGCATCCAGGGGAGGGGGCAGCCAGGGAGTGGAGCAGGGGAAGAGTTGGGGGACAGCCAGGGTACGCGATTGGGGGTCATACAGGGAACGGAGGGCACCCAGGGGTGGGGCAGGGAGGAATTGGGGGCAGCCAGCGGATGGGGTTGGGAGTCATAGAGGGAACAGGGGAGCACCCAGCGGATGGGGCAGGGGAGAAATTGGGGGGCAGCCAGGGGATGGGGTTGAGGGTCATACAGGGGACGGGAATGGGGGAGCACCCAGGGGGTGGGACAGGGGAGGAATTGGGGGCAGCCAGGGCATGAGGTTGGGGAAGGATGCCGGGGCTGGGGTTGGGTGGATGCCAGGGACACCCAGGAAAAGTGGGGGGCTCCCAGCGAGAGGGGGACATCTAGGTTGAGTGGGACTGCACGGGAGGGGGGGTGTCTCTTCTGCCACCTGCTGGTGGGATTGGCCCTGTGTCCGTCTGTCCCTGATCACCCCCCGCACGCACAGACGGACGTTTATTTCTTTCCCCCACAGGGGAGGTCAAGAAGTCCCCCAACGCTGAGATGGAGTCACCCTACCAGGTGAGCATGACCTGCTGTTTCCCCTGGCCCCAGCCCCTTACCCCCACAATGTATCACGACCGGGGTTGTCTCAGCCACGTGTCAGGGCCCCTGCACTGACCAGAGAGCCTGGGGATTTGCCCTCAGTTACAGCCACTAGCTGGCAGGGATCTCAGCTCCTGACTGATACTAATGATCCACAGCACCATCACTTACCCACCCCCCGACCCTGCACACGGGGGGGCAGGGAAAAGAGCATTAGCCCTGTTTGATATGATGGGGAAACCAAGGCACAGATTAGGATGTGATTTGAATCAGTGGCAGAGTAGGGGATAGAACCCAGGAATCCTGGCTCCCAGCCCCCCACTAACCACTAGACCCCACTGCCCTCCCAGCACTGGGGTAGAACCCAGGAATCCTGGCTCCCAGCCCCCACTAACCACTAGACCCCACTGCCCTCCCAGCACTGGGGTAGAACCCAGGAATCCTGGCTCCCAGGAGCCCTCTCTGACGCTCTCCGTTTCTCCTCTTGTAGGAGCTCCAGGGTCAGAGATTGGATATTTACAGTGACCTGAAGAAGTCGGGAGCCAATTATTAATGCCCCCTCTCCGTCCCACGCCCACTCGGCACCCAAGTGGCTGGTGCCAGGGTGTCAAACTCATGCAGCCGTCACAGTTTATCTCCCTGCCACCCGCTCTGAGCACCATTCTGTGCAAACATGCAGTCCCCCTCAAATCTCCAGCATTGATCCCACCCTGCAGCTCTTCAGAGATGCATTTCCTCTCTGCTGGACTCATTTAATCTCCAGTTGAAGCATCCTGCTTGTCTCTGGATGAGCGGGTTACAAAGACCCCAGCCCTAGTCCCGGGTTGCGGTTTTGCGATCTTAACAAAGTTTTTTGGCTGGGAATTTCCTTCCTTGCTATTTTTCTCCTCACCGTTATTGGTACAATTTCAGCTTTAGCAAAGTTGTTTCTCAGGGAATTTTCTTCGTTGCTTTTCCTTCATCGAAGTTATTGGTACAATTTCAACGTTAGCAAAGTTTTTTTGCTTGGAAATTTCCTGACTTGCTCTTTTTCCGTTAAAGTTCTTGGGTTGACGTTAGCAAAGTTTTTTGGCTGGACATTCCCAAAGTTGCTTTTTGCTTTCCTGAAAGTCTTTGTCCTGTTTCTATTTTAAGGAAATTTTTAGCTCGTGAATTATCATAGTTTTTCTCTCTTCCATTCCGGTTGCCATTACTCGTCCTAGGTCAGTGTTTACGTGTTTTTGACTGGGAGGTTTCTTGGTTGCCATTTTTTCCTGGTGAAAGCTATTGGTACAATTTTCACGGTAAAGGTTTTTTGGCTGGGAATTTCTCAAACATGTTATTTTTGTTGGTGTTGAAGTGCTTGGTACGATTTCAAGTTTAATAAACCTTATTTGCTGAGAGTTTCCTCAGAGGCAGATGCATCTCAGCACCTGATGAGCCATCACCATGAGGTGTTATGTGCGGCTGTTACCCTGCTGCCCCGCCCCAGAGGTGGCTGCATCCCAGCAGTGGGTGAGTCATCCCTGTAGCTAAGATCTCTAAAGTGCTGGCTCCCCCTACACAGGAAAGGCTCCGTGTCCCATTCCCTGCACCCCTGAGCCAGCCAGACCTAAACCCTGGGGCTGGACGGCAGCCAGTGGCCCCAGAGGGGAAAGGCCCGATGTCCCATTCCCCACGCGCTGAGAGCCAGCCAGTCGCCGCCCTGGGACAGGATTGGAGCCAGTGACCCCCAGAGGGGAAAGGCCCCATGTCCCATTCCCCACGCGCTGAGAGCCAGCCAGTCACCGCCCTGGGGCGGGATTGGAGCCAGCGACCCCCAGAGGGGCACTGAGCTGCAGAGAACAGGGTGGGGGCTCAGCAGGGGGTGCCAAGGGAGTCACAATAAAGCGCGACTGGAGTCAAAGTAAACAGGCCACTTGTTTTAATAGTAAAGATGAAGAGAAGCAGTAGGGTGGCCTATAGCCCCAAACCCTTTAATGCTTGGGGCTGATGGGGGCCAGGTGGGGGCAGAAGGGGGTGTCTTCTGTTTCCTCCCCTCATCCCTGGGGGTGGCCGGGTAGCACCCCCAAAAGTCGGCCCTCCCTCAGCGTTAGCCCAGGAGCTCACTGGCTCCCTTTCATTGCCCCCTAACGTGAGCCGCTGCCCAGCTCTGGGGTGTCCCTCTGGCAATCGGGGTGTTCCCCCCCAAAATCCAGCCCTTCCCCTGCTCAGAATGGAGCTAAATTCTGCACCCCCTGAGCTGGTCCCAGAGTCCCCCCTCCAGGGCTCAGCCCCCCCAAACGACAACCCCCCCAAAAAGGGGAATGCGAGCCCCAAAATGACTGCCTTTGCATTCACCCCCAAACTGGGGAAAGCCCTTGGGATTGGCCATGAAACTGGGAACCCCCAGCAACCCCCAAACTGGGGCTAGGGCATGTGATTCTGTCACCAATCAGCAGGGGGCACCGGGGAGCCAAGATTCCACCTGACTGTACCCAAATCCGGGACCACATCAGACCCCCCAAGACAGTGCCCCTTAGAGGGAAAAGGCCCCTTTTCCCATTCCCCTCACCCCCACCCCCAAGCCAGCCAGCCCCCAATCTGGGGCCAGATGGGAGCCAGCACTGCCCAGAGGGGAAAGGCCCCGTATCCCATTGCCCGCCTCGGAGACCCAGCCAGTCAGCACCCTGGGGCCAGATTGGAGCCGCGTCACCTAGAGGGAAAAGGCCCCATGTCCCATGTGTTGGGGCAAGGAAGTGCTGGTATCTGCGGAGAATGTCTATCCCCCAGTGGTGAGGATGGTGTCAGAAGTGGGATCAGTTAGGTACTGAGGAGGAGGCCGGGGGGAGGGTCAGTTGACTCTTCCAGGCATGTTCATATAAATATTCTGGTCTTCTACAGAGAGAGACAAGCAAAGAGCTTCTGTTAGCAAACAGCCAGTCTGATTCGGGGTGGGGGGGGGGTTCTGGCAGCGGGGCACGGGGTGGCATGGGGGGATCCAGTGAGGGAGTGGGTGAGGTGGGGCACACAGGCTGGTGGGGATCCCAGCAGCGGGAGAGGGGGTGGCGGGGGGGAACCCAGCAGCGGGGGAGGGATCGGGGGTCTCGGTCTCCGCCCCCCCCCACTCACCGCTGTTGCCGGTGGGTTTGCTGCAGCGCTTGGTGCAGTGATACACCCCGGCGATGAGGAACAGGGTGAAGACGAGGTCTCCGAGCACCACCCCGACGATGAGGGACGCCTGGATCTGGTAGCAATCCCCACACTGCCCTGCAGGAGAGCGGCTGTGAGCCCCACAACGCAGCACGGCACTGGGGACACCGGCTGCGGGGAGCGGGGCGGGGGTGTCAGCGAGGGGCGCTGTGCCGCGGGGAGCAGGCGGGGGCTCTGCGGGGGGCGCTGTGCCGCGGGGAGCAGGGTGGGGAGTGTCAGCGGGGGGCGCTGTGCCGCGGGGAGCGGGGCGGGGGCTCTGCGGGGGGCGCTGTGCCGCGGGGAGCAGGGTGGGGGGTGTCAGCGGGGGGGCGCTGTGCCGCGGGGAGCGGGGCGGGGGCTCTGCGGGGGGCGCTGTGCCGCGGGGAGCAGGGTGGGGGGTGTCAGCGGGGGGCGCTGTGCCGCGGGGAGCGGGGCGGGGGCTCTGCGGGGGGCGCTGTGCCGCGGGGAGCAGGGTGGGGGGTGTCAGCGGGGGGCGCTGTGCCGCGGGGGGCGGGGCGGGGGCTCTGCGGGGGGCGCTGTGCCGCGGGGGAGCGGGGCGGGGGGTGTCAGCGGGGGGCGCTGTGCCGCGGGGAGCGGGGCGGGGGTGTCAGCGAGGGGCGCTGTGCCGCGGGGAGCGGGGCGGGGGTGTCAGCGGGGGGCGCTGTGCCGCGGGGAGCGGGGCGGGGGGTGTCAGCGGGGGGCGCTGTGCCGCGGGGAGCGGGGCGGGGGCTCAGCGGGGGGCGCTGTGCCGCGGGGAGCGGGGCGGGGGCTCAGCGGGGGGCGCTGTGCCGCGGGGAGCAGGCGGGGGCTCTGCGGGGGGCGCTGTGCCGCGGGGAGCAGGGTGGGGGGTGTCAGCGGGGGCGCTGTGCCGCGGGGAGCAGGCGGGGGCTCTGCGGGGGGCGCTGTGCCGCGGGGAGCGGGGTGGGGGGTGTCAGCGGGGGGCGCTGTGCCGCGGGGAGCGGGGCGGGGGCTCTGCGGGGGGCGCTGTGCTGCGGGGAGTGGGGCGAGTGGGTCTGTTTGCTGCCCCCTGCTGGAGGGGCTGAGCCCTGTGCTGGGGGGGGCTCCTCCCCCCCGCCGTCCCGCTCTCCGTGGCTCGGATCCGTCCGGCTCTCACTCACCCTGTCCCTGGGCGGAGACGGCGTCTGCTGCGGAGAGAAAGGAAACCGGCTGTGATCCAGCTCCAGCCCCCCTGCTACAAGCGTCTGCCCCTGAGCCCCCCACAACGCCCCCTTGGCCCCTGCCCCGTCCATCCAGCAACGCGGCCATTCCCTGTTGGCTTCCTTCTGCTCCGCCCCACTGCAGCCCCTCCCCCCGGCCACAGCTCCGCTGGTGCCCCTCACTCCCGACCCACAGCCCTGGGCTCCCCACCCCCCAGCTCTGACCCTCAGCCCCCCTTGCTGTACAGAGCAGTACCCGGGTTCCTTGCCCAGCTGTGGGGGGCTCTGGCTGTGGATATGTGGGGGCTAAGGGGTGGGGAATGGCCACTCTGGGGAGAGGGAGGAGCCGGGGGTGTGCACGACCCCCCCCCCCAAGGCAGCATCTGCTGGGGTTCAGCCGTGAAGAGGAAGCAAAAGTGGCATTTGAGACACTTCCCTAGGCTGGCCCTGGTCCCAGCCTGGGGATTGCACAAGGGGATGTGGCTGGAGCTGGACCGAAACTTCTTCCCCGGGGAAGATTGGCCTGACCCCCTCCCTGCTGCCCTCCCTGCTGGGGGCCAGCCTCTGTCCCCAACCCGATCCCCTCGGGTCACAGCCCGCCATGCCCACGGCTCCCCCCATCTGTTACTTAGTACAAGGGGATTGTCCCCAGAGCCTGGGAGCCTGGACTCCTGGGTTCCTCCCAAGTGTTGCCAGCAGAGAGGGGGTCTAGTGGATTAGAGCGGAGGCGGAGGAGTTAGGAGCCAGGACTCCTGGGTTCTGTCCACAGTGCTGGGAGGGAAGTGGGGTCTAGTGGATTACAGTGGACGGGGTGGGGGCTGGGAGCCAGGACTCCTGGGTTCTGTCCCCAGTGCTGGGAGGGGAGTGGGGTCTAGTGGTTTAGAGCAGTGGGGCTGGGAGCCAGGACTCCTGGGTTCCATCCCTGGCGCTGGGAGGGAAGTGGGGTCTAGTGGGTTACAGTGGACAGGGCGGGGGCTGGGAGCCAGGACTCCTGGGTTCTCTCCCCAGTTGCCAGGTGGACACTCACCGATGAGGAGGCAGAGGAAGGGCAGGGCAGGGCCCCACATGGTGAGCTCGCCTTGGGCAGGCCTACGGGCAGCGCAGTCAGCGCTCAGCCACTCTCCCCTCCAGCAGCGGCCCGGCGATTGCTACGTTTGTTGTGAAGTTCCCTCTAGGGCCCAGCGCCCGCCTCAATCACCCACATCCGGGGCTGGGGGCGAGGCCAAGGCAGACCATGGTAAAGGCACACAGGATGTGTGGGAGGGAAGAGCACAGGGGCTGAGTCACATTTGCCATGTGAGGCTGTTGCTATGCCCACCTTGCCCTGCTCTAACCACTAGACCCCACTCCCCTCCCAGAGCCAGGGTGAGAACCCAGGAGTCCTGGCTCCCAGACCCCACCGCTGTCACCCCAGACACCGGCTGAGGGTCTGGCCCCACTGACTCCAATGGGGCTCCGGCCGCTTGCTGCCCGCTGGCCTGTGCCCGTCTCTCCTTGCACCACGCGAGCTGAGCCCTTGTACCGGCTGGGAGCAGGTTTCCATTTACAAATCGACTTCCCCGAACGCGCCTTACTCGGCTGGCTTAGATATTCGCTATGACCCTTTGCCCGCGCCCTCCCCGCCCAGTCACAGACACACCCTGGCCCTGAGCAGGAGCCCTCACCCCTCGGACTCTTCTCCTGCACCACGGACAGAACCCGGCGTTTATGCACCGGTACCGCCCCTTCGCCCTTGGGCGCACCCCATGGCAAGAAAACCCCCGGCCCCACTGCGGACACAACCTAGCCCACGCAGCGCTGCTAAGAGACACGCCAGCCCTCACAACATACGTGTGCGCCCCTTTCCTCTGATCCCACACCCGGGCAGGGGGCACGGAGAGCGGCTCACAGACACTCCCCAAGGAGTGCAGGGCCCCCCAAGATCACCCCATGCCCCAATCACAGCTCTGCCAAGCTGCTTCCTTCAACTCACCCACCTGAGGAGGGAAATTCCAAGAGGAAAGTGACTGGGAAGCCAGGAAGCGATTACTTACACTGCACATCCACGGAGACAGGCATAGACTGTCCATAGCTGA